ATGGCAGAGGGTGGGGTGGGAACCGGATGGAGGGGAGCTATGGGGGGGAAAAAGAGGAATAACTGTAATATTATGAACAATAAAGATATAATTTAAAAAAAAACTCATTCTATCCACTAACCCTCTATAAGCAGTCATTACTTCGTGGTTTTCTCTTGCTAGTAACATGCTATTGAATACTGCAGGTGATTATGAATACAGGGTACCTATCATCCACCATAGGTAAGTCAGATTACCTGTGCTAAAATCCAGCAGGAAGTGAAGGTCAGACTTGAGTGTGCTAGTGTCTACTTCATACATATCTTCAAATGCCATCCCATCTTTCCCACTGCAGCTGTTTTTGTCCTCTTGCTCAGGTTCATCCATGTAGATATCAAATCCTTGCTTTGCTGGCATGTGGACCCCACAGTCAGAGAGTGCTTTTTTTCCAGCTTGAGGGAAGACATTTTCTGATCCAGAGAAACACCTAACTGTTGTTATCCCCTAGAAAAGGATTTTTTGTTAAAGGCCACCCCAAAGACCAATAGGTGATGTGAACCTGTGTGACTCAAACCAGCAGGATGGGAAAATAAGAGGAATCTTAAATTGAAATATCTATTTCTGCAATATAATTTCAGAAAATGAAGCTTCCAAAGTATGACTTCTCCCTTATCTCTTTCTACATTTGACATTTGGTAAAAGAGCTATCTAAAATTTTTCATCTTCCTCACATATTTATCAAAGGGAATTAAAAATCCTAGAAAAAAGAAACTATAACTCTTCTTCAAAATGAAAGGGGGGAGGAGGGATTGTAAATTGGCTCTCATGCTTATATAGCATTACAGGATTTTGTAAGTACCCAGCACAGTTTTTGATGCATAGTTACTGAGTTCCTACAGTCCTCCCCCTTAAACAGTTAACTTTAAGTCAGCAGGCCCCTATAAAGTTCCCATTTTATACCCAGTTAATTAGAAATATGATGATATTAGAAACACATACTACTAAATTCTCTTAACATAGAATCTTTTTGTATGACATGATGGAGAAATCTAACAATCAATTGCTTCTCCCTTTTCTTTATTCCTATAACATTAATGATGGAAACAACTGTGTGTGTCCCCTCTGTGAACAACTGTGATGCATTACATACTAGTGCACATTAAGATGAGTCATGTTGGATGACCTGAAGGTCAGCTGAACCAAGGCAGGTGGGCAAGCTTTATGAATCCAAGTTATATTTATGCAAATGCTAGGTCTAGCTACTGCATTAACATTTTATCATTTATAATTAACTAGAGGCCCGGTGCATGAAATTCATGCACTGTGGGGGGGGGGTCCCTTGGTGCAGCCTGAACCCTCTGCAATCTGGACCCCCCTATGGGATCCCCGGGCCTAAACCGGCAGTCGGACATCCCTCTCACAATCCGGGACTGCTGGCTCCCAACCGCTCACCTGCCTGATTGCCCCTAACTGCTTCTGCCTGCCAGCCTGATCACCCCCTAACCACTCCCCTGCCTGCCTGATCGACGCCTAACTGCTCCCCTGCTGGCCCAATTGCCCCCAACTGCCCTCCCCTGCCAGCCCGGTCACCCCCAACTGCCCTCCCCTACTGGCCCCCCCCCCTCCTGCCCTGCCCTGCAGGCCTGGTCCCCCTCAACTGCCCTCCCCTGCAGACCTGGTTGCCCCAACTGCCCTCCCCTGTAGGCCTGATCACCCCCAACTTCTCTCCCCTGCTGGCTTGATCGCCCACCACTGCCCTCCCCTGCCAGCCATCTTGTGCCCACACAGGGGCAGCGATCTTGTGTGAGGGCATGATGGTCAATTTGCATATTACCTCTTTATTATATAGGATCTTGGTGTTCACTTTTGAGACTCCTTTCAAATTATGTGTTTCCATACATTCCCTTCCATCTAGTAAATTAAATATGTAGTTTATGTCTACACTAGTAAGGAAAAAATTCTTTTTTTAATCCTCACTTGAGGATACATTTATTGATTTTTGGAGAGAAAGTGGAAGGGAAAGAGAGAGAGAGGAGAGAGAGAAAAAGAAACATCAATCAGCTGCCTCCCCTACAGGATTGAACCCACAATCTAGGTATGTACTGTGACCAGGAACAGCACCTGTAACCTTTTAGGTGTACGGGATGACTCTCCAACTAACTGAGCCACCTGGCCAAGGCAAGAAAAAAATTCTTTATGGTAATTCTGGTAAAATCACAAGAACTATAAAGGACCAAAAACACAAGTTACTATAACCAGATAATCATAATTCCAAATTATTACCATGTTTGACTTTTGCCATATATATATATATGTATATATATATAAAGACATACATTCATTACACATTTACTGAGCATCCAGTATGTGCCAGACATTGTTCTAGGTGCCCAGAATTTAGCAATGAACCAAACGTTCAAAACGAACTGCCCTCATGGAGTTTATATCTAATTGGGAGGACAGGAGAAAGACAAATAAGAAAAAGACATAGTAGATCAAATGATAAGTGCTTTGGAGAAGAATAACAGAGAGAAAAGAGAGTCATTGCCATTTTAAACAATGTGGCCAGGGAAAGCCCCTATGAAGATAAAAGTTAGACAAAGATATGAACAAGCTAAGAGAGTAAGTTACACAGATAAAAAAGGGAAGAGCATTCTGGGCAGAGGGAACAGCCTGGGTACATGTCCTGATGTTGAAGTGTGTCTTAAGAGGCACATCAAGAAACAAATGAGGTTTTTTTCTATCTCAGGAAACCAAGATGGCGGCATAGGTAAACACCGGAGATTGCTGCCGCAAACAACCACTTCAAAAATACAACTAAAAGATGGAACGGACATCACCCAGAACCACAGGAAGGCTGGCTGAGGAGAGATTCTTCAACTAGAAGGAAA